CCTGATCCACGGCCTTTAAAATTACGCACATTACATTCTCCCGCTTTTTTTAACCGGGAGAATCCCTAAAAAGCTTCCACCTATACTGACTTTCATACAATGATTATGCAAATATTACGGAGTGGTTCTGTTGTTTATTTAAAGGGCACCTCCGTTTTGTCATTAATCAATCTGACACCACCGAGAACACACACATGCACACTTGCCCACAATTTCTTATTTGGCTAAAAAAAAACAACCCAAAAAACAATTAAAAATAAATAAATAAAATAAAGCACTTTGTTTTGTTTCTGCTGTTGCAGAATATGATAAATCCAGTTAAGATTGCATCTACGACGTGACCCTTAAAGGCCCCCGCGGCTGAAAACTGGCAGACCACCCTACAGCCGTAAGTTAGAAACCTTAAAAAAAAGAAGATTTTACTACTCAAGAAGCTTCATTAAAACTCGTTCATGAGCTTTATGGATAAAACCGGTTATTGCCTCCGTTTGTCTGGAATTAGTCGCAAGCTGTCAGGACACCCAGCCCCTCTTCCCCTTTCTCCAACCTCCGTTTTATATAAAATAGATTTGGGAGAAGCGCCATTTTCTCTCCAAACCATGCGCAATGAGACGCACAAGAAAGCCCGTTGGAGGAGTGCCATTAAAAAGAAAGGGGGAGAGAGAGCGCGCGAGAGAGGGAGAGAGAGTGAGAGAGCGAGGGAGGTTAAACACTATCGGGGAAAAGAGAGCAGAGTTGGGAAAAGCTCCTTCGTACGCAGCAAATGACAAGTAGCAGCGCGACAGGCGACACAACACTGTAAACCACGTACAGTAAAAACAAACCGGAGGCGCGCTACACCGGGGGGGAAGGGAAAAAAGCAAAGCGCCGGAGCCTTAAAACGGCGATTTTCTTCCATACCTGTGTCAAGCAGTAAGGGGAGTACATGTTGGAGTCTACAGATGAAATTTGGAGTTGCTGATAACAAAGTTGGATGGAGGTTCGCTGCGGTGCCGCATTGCAAAGCCGCTGTGGCTCAGTCCAGGCTGTAACCCCGCCTCACTTGCAGTGAAAGCTCCGCGCTAACTTTAGAGGAAAGTTTTTGCTGCTCTCTCTCCCTGCCTCCCTCCCTCCCTCTTTCTCTCTAACGCTCCCTCTCTCTCACTCACTCTCTCTCTCTTCCTCCCCGCTTTTCTATCAGATCGTCACAAACCTAACATTATGTTTGAAACGATCGTTATTTAAACCTTTCTTTTCTCTTTTCTTTTCTTTTTTTTCTTTAAGAATCAACGCTTCGCTAAATCCCCAAAGAAAAGTCGCTTGAGCTACAGTATCCCTGCAGAACTACAGGGGCTCAATGTGCGCCTGTGGTACTGTGCGGGCAGAGCAGTCAGCTCGTTGTATTTTAAAGATAGTAATACTTTTGTAAATGTGGCATGGGATTTCGCTTATATTTTACTACATGATTTAAACACTTCGGAAGCAGAAATCTAAGCTTTTAGTTCTGTTAAATAATGTTTTTTATCTATCTATCTATCTATCTATCTATCTATCTATCTATCTATGTTTGCAGTCTTTTGGTCATGTAAAAAAAACGGAATCTTTTTTTGGTGCAGGGATATTTACTTTGACAAAACTGTCTTAAAAATCTTTGCCAATCACTTGTGTTTGCCAGAGCAAACACAAGTGATTGAGGTGGCAGATTTCCTCAAAAAGATCCCTTTTCTGCTTTCATATCCTTTGCTCTTATGAAGAATGCAGAAGCAAACCCAAGTGTAACCAAAATAGAAAGACCAAAAAAAAAGAAGAAAGTTTTAAATTTACAGCTCAGATTATGCTGTGGTCCTTTGTCAGCCAGTCATCTGGATGGTGGCACAAAGCTTTCTGCGTACAAGCTATTTAAATGTCTTACAAGTTTGTTGAAGGGGGCCCGATTGTTAACTTGACTATGTGTTACTGTAAAGTAAACGTGCGCGGTAGGGTCGGCTTTTCATACTGCTGAAACATCTCATTAAATCTGGACCGCCTATTTTTATTTAATGCATTTTACAAGGTGTCAGAGCTCAACATGAGCCCTGACTCTGTAGCTCCGCTTTAGCTTGAGATGCTGCGTGCCGCTCGTTTTAACTAAAGAGCTCATCATCTGAAAGTTATAACCAGACTTAAATATTTACAATGGCAGGCGTATTCATGAACCTAAACAAGTCCAAAATTATTACAGCAAGTTGTAAATTCTGCTGTCTAAGAGTCATTTTTTTCAGCCATGATACATTTTGCTTTGCTATTTCTACTTTTGTTTTTAACTGAATCCAAGTCATATTCCAGTATACGGTATATGTTTATGTCGACAAAAGATACCTGAACTTGTGCAAAGTGCTCTAAACCGGTCTCATTGTGCCTCTATTGTATGGAAGCAATACACTCTGGTTCTAATCAGGCTTGGCTTTATCCTCACCCGCTCCCTGCTCCTCAGCCTAATCAAACTCATATATGCAGGCAGAGTGCCTGCAATTATACATAAGCCTCTGCCTTGTGCATGTGTGTGTAAGAGTGTGTGTGTGTGTGAGAAGAGAGAGAGCGAGCATTAGTGAGAAGAGAGAGAGCGAGCATTAGTATTTGGAAGCATGCGTGTGCCTGTGTGTGAATACAATTCTATATGTGCAAGTCTCCGTGTGCGTATGTGTTCCAGTTGTGCAAAAGTTTTTGCTCCCACCCACATGTGTGCGCAAGGGTGCGGTTTTGGGGGTTGAAGTCACCCTCGTGCTTGGATGCCAAGTTTTTCTGGGGGGGGGATGAAGCTGTGCAACTTTACGAGACCTCAGCCTATGTAGCATACATAGAAACCTACACCACAAACGCACATGCATATAGTGTACAGTAGAGACAGACACACACACACACTCACAGTTTCAGTGCATTCATGAACACAAATGTCTGTTGGTCAAAGATATATTGGCACAAACAACCAGAAAAAGAATTTCACCCAGAAGAAAAAGAGAGAAAAATCTAAATTGAAGTGAAAGAAAGTAAAACATATTGAGGTGTAGTGTTCTTTTCCCAAAGTCTCTCCTCTTTCCAAACCACACCCCACCACGGCACAGGCCCAAACCCCAAAGCTTTTGTCCGCTCTCTCGCTTTCCCTCTTTTTCTTTCTGTCTACCCCATTTTTTCTCTTTCTCAGTGGCTCTTTTTAGTGTCACTTTCTCCTTTTCTGTCTCATAATCTTCATCTATTCTCCCTTTCTTTAGTTTCTTTCTTTCTTTTTTTTTGCTGTCCTCATCACACACACACTCTCCCTTTCTGCTGCCTGATTTTACTGGTTGTCTTTGTTTCTGGCTTCAGTCTGACATTAGGTGTCCATCTCAGTATTCAACACAGGCACTTGGCTGCAACAAACAAACTATAGCAACCGACCGCAGGAGTTACAAAACACTGACGCTTGGGCTTTCTTTCCAAACTCTCTGCCTATAATCAAACAGTCAGGTCTCAACATCACCTTTGAAAGCCCCTCAAGCGCACAGGGATCTAGTGGTTTCTGAGACTACGCTTGCCATTAAAAAGCACATGAGAAAACCATATGGCGTGCCTAAAGTTAGCATGTTGCGGTCTCCCATTGACACACAGCACTACTCATATCCTTGTTGTTTACCAATGCCTGTGGCTAGGCCATTAAATATTGAATGTGATGTAGCATACTGATACTGCCATTAGCATGCTAAATGTGTGAGACAGGTGGTTGAGGCTGCCTTTCAAAAGGCAGGAAATATGTGAACGGAATATTGTGCAACTGTACCGTTTACTACGGCATACAGTGTAAATATTGTTTGAGTAAGCTGTTTACGTCTGCCTGCGAAGCGGCATGCCAGTCAAATGCATACAGGCATATGCAGTCAGAAAGACATGGCTGACCGGCCGCCACGGCTAACAAGCATATCATATACAGTGTGGATCCCAGAGACTATGGATCTGTTTGTAATGTGAGTGTGTATGCAGAGCACTGTGTTAGGCCTGCTGCTTTTTAAAAAAATGTGTTTACTATATGTCATACTCTGACGGCTTTGGATTTGTGCATTTTTACCATATTTGTATTCAGCTGTAATAAAGATGTATAGATTTATTTTGCTGGGATTATGTCATAATTAGTTTGTTTTAAAAGTGGAAAATGGAACAAGTCATATTGAAGCGTGTAGGCCAAAAGAACAATTTTCCAGGCAGTCTAGCAGTTATCGCCAAACTCATTCTGAAAGCTGATTTTTTTTGGGTGGGAAATATTTGTGAAAATTACCATATGTATAACATGTAACCCAGGCAGTATCCTCCAGAAAAATTTCACTTTTATAACGTCAAGTATATTTTTCTTTGCTTTAACTGGCTTCTAACTTTTGCCCTGCACGTGACGCGTTTCCTCCACATGAATCTGCAACAAAACCAATTTTCTGCCAAGCCTAAATAATCCCTTATAAAAATACATGTCACGGAAAAGTTGACATTTTTAGGAAACATAGTGTTTTTGCAGGGCACTTTTGCCACATGTCAGCGCAACTGACAGATGAACTGAGAACATTCATGAAGACGTGTGGGAATTTTTTTGTGTGTATATATTTATATGTGTGTGTGTGTGTGTGTGTGTGTGTGTGTGTGTGTGTGTGTGTGTGTGTGTGTGTGTGTGTGTGTGTGTGGAGGAAATGGACATATGAGCGAGCTAATAGCACAACGTCAACACAAAATGTGGATGTATTTTCTGAACACATTAATGGAACCCCAGAAACAAACATTCATCATGGCAAGAATGAAGGTAGCATAGTGTTTCCTATGCTGTGGTCGGACCATGTCAAATGAATGCACTAATGAGGCTTTTGTACTTTAAAAAAATCCTCCCCCCTACAAAAGAAAAACAGAGAGGGACTGGGTTCCTTTTTTGTTTTTTTTGTGTCCAGGAAATATATCTTGGGACATCAGTGCAATTAAAAGGACAGATACAGAGAGCTTGCAGTGTGTATGTATTTTGGGGATGTGTATACCCTATATGTATCAGACACGAGGAAACATTCAGGCATCCCTGGGCCTCTAGTGGGATCGTCGTTCACCAGGTAGGTGTCAGTAGCCTGAAAAACAGAGAAATAGTTATTCAGTTAAAATTGTTTCCATGTAGCTGAAAAGTCATGCTGCGAAATGTGGAACAAATACAGCACAGATTTTAGCCCAGCATATATTTTATATCATTTTAATATTTATTAAATAAAATATTATAATTGGATTTCGTTGCTCTTTAATAACATATAGTACATTTAAGAAGTATTGCAACGTTTAAAGCAATCTCACAACACTCTGTTAATTTGTTTAAACCAGTGTAATTTAGATTGTGGCAAAACAAAATTGTGATTTTTCTTCCCTCCTCTTTGTGAGACGTAACCCTAAAATGTACCCGCTCCGTGTGAAACAGTCTTTTAACCCCAACTGGTTTCATTTCTCCACAGAAGCTCCACAACACTTGCACTATAAATCCCCAGTCAGATTGTCTGTAAGTACAAGGGTGTATGCATGCATATGTGTGTAGGTGTGCATTCAGGGAGCTTCATTTGTATTCTAAGTCAAGCAGGCAGGCAGGCAGGCAGGGTTCTGGCAGGGCCCGGAGCTGTGAAATAGGCTCTCCTTGCAGTTCTGCAGTTGATTGGATCAACCTATCCCACTCTACTTAGCCGAAGGGAGCCCAAATCCCACAGCCGCTGTGCCGTTCTGTGAAATCCTATTTCATTTCACAACTTTAACGGATAAAAAAGCATGCACACGCGCTTGTGCCAGCCCAAGACCCCATGCCACATTTATTCAGCGAACGGGAGCAGAGAGAAAACACTGCATGTGTGTGGAAATGCCGAAATGCACACGCATATAGTCTAACCCTCTTGAAAATATAATCGCCCATATGCATATACATTTTTTCCACACCCATGTTCACTCTGCCTCACGCGCAAACACACTGCAACACGTACCAGCGCACACACACACACCGATATACACGTGCATGCCACTTACGCAGACACACAGACACAAACCCCATAATAAGAGCCAGACGTTGGCAGACCACACAGCCCTGAGTTGTGGTGAAAACAAAGGCTATTCATATCCTTCGCAATGAGAGGTCTGTATGGCTAACTCTCTTTCTCCCTCTCTCCCCAATCTCTCCCCTCAGCTTTTTATTACAGATAATCTGCACTCGCAAACCTTCCATTTTTCTGCAATTGTGCGATTCTTAATCATCTTTATTAGTCCATAAACATTGTTTTCTTTTTCCTATTTTTAGCCCTTTTTTATTGCTGAGGCTCTCGACTCCTTGAGGGGGCAACACGAGTTTCAAAATGATGATGAAGCTGGGATTCAGAGTCGGAGAGGCCTGCTGATAAGAGAGCAAGGCATTATGGGAATGGGGTAATAGAGTCCCTCACATCCACAAATACACATCCATGCTAATAGACATGCAGATCCACACACACACACACACACACACACACACGACAAAATGCAAGCACTCAGATTCTGCCAGGCCACATGTGTCTGATAATGAAATGACGCCTCTGATTGGCTGGCAGGCAGAATAATGGCCTGGATCCACGACACCTGTGGTGGGGTCCACAGCAGTGCGAGCCTGCTGACTACCAGCAAGCAGACCACAATGCATCAGGTGTGCTGGAGCCTCTGTGATTGGCTGTCCCTGGCCAGAAACAGCGTCAGGTGCACCAGCAAGCCTACCCTGATTGGTTGAGTCGAACCCAAAAAGCTGCGGGTGGGAAAGAGCTGTTTTTATTGGCTGCTGCTGCCCAGTGCTGCTGGTGAATGGGTGTCTGGCTGGATGGCAGTGGGACAACTGGGAGCGCTGACTATTTGAGAAAACCTTTTGTACATATGTAGGTTTTCGTACCCCCAGAATCTCAGCATTAGCTATCATTTAACCTGACTTCAGGAAGAGCAACATAACACACATAAAACAAACAACCAAAAACCCCAACAACAATTGAACTCCAACAGTAGATAATTTGCTCTCATTTCATATTAACCATCCAACAAAGAGGAATTTAAACACCCACTTTATGCTGTTCGCCAGAAAAACAGGTGTTGATGAACCTCAATCCTATTGTGCAACAATGAATAACATGAAGCTAATGAATAGGCTAAGCTCTGTACCTGGCACTGGGGAGGCCAGAACATACTGATTCCCTTTGTAGTAAACCCCTAAAAAAAACTCCAGGGCCCCCAAACACTCTCTCCTGCAGCAGTGTATGAATTATATATTGTACTATATATATAGAACATATGCCCGGCCCATATGGCCAGCCCTGAGCGAAAAAATCTCAAAGCCCTGCTTAATTAACATTTTAGAGGGAAGATTCGGAGGCGGGAGATTGAGTCAGTGACCTATTTGGAGTCCATCATCGCCCAATGCAAATGTGTTAATTGAGACAGATTTTCCTACTTCACAAATATGTGGAGTAAGGGATGCAGTGGAGGATTTTTATTTATTTATTTGTCTGAGCCATCTGATCTAAGGTATCTGTATATGGTGTGTTTTAAGCTGCCTTTCTTTCTGCCTTCACTGACAAAAGAAGACACTTCTCTTTCCTTGGCTCACTCGCTCTCTCTTTGGATTTAGTGTTGACGACCATATGGCCAAATTCTTTGGAGGTGAGATCTCCGAAACCTGCTCTCGCACTGCACGTACACTCACACATGTACTTACAAACACACCTCTACAGAGCTTTGTGTATGAAAGGCCCTGATGGTGGAATTTGTTCTCAGGTGGCTCCATTTTAAAGCAAATGAATGGCATCATATCAATGATCCCCCCCCCATCCAACCACACACACACATCGCCCCACCTTTCCTCGCTTTCTGTCTCTCTGCATATCACATTAGCAGTTACACACAAAAACACACACTTGCACACTAATTCACCACCTACACATAAAAACTTACACTTGTCACACACCTGGTGCAGCCCTCTCCTTGTTTCCACAAAACCTTTATCCTGGCCGCCCCACAATCATGAACCACAACCACTACCAGCACTGTTGATCCCGCTTTTTTCTTTTTTCTCTTTTTCTTTCTTTTAAAAAAACATGGTTGCTATTATAACCACCATTGTGTCTCAACCATGTTTTTATCATCGTTATTTGGTGCCTGAAAAGCAACACTGCCAAGTTTAAGGCACAGGATGAAAATAGGGGGATGGGGAGAGGAAAACAGTCCAGCCAACCTGCGTGAGATGGCAACCACTTCAAAGATGCCAGGCCGCACCGGCGATCTGTTCCATGGTGTGTGAGGAGTGTATGAAAGGCAGAAATGGCCGCCGTGTGAGTCCCTGCCAAAGCTACCTCGGGGAGAAACGTTGGAAAAATACGATTTTTCACACAGCCTTCTCAGGGGGGGTGACGAGAAAACAGGGAGGCTAAGAAAGAAGATGAGAAACCGAGGGGCTACATTAAAAAAATGATGGATGGATGGCTGAGTAGAGTGGGGCTAATTATTTCACTCCACTCGTGAGTCCTGAAGGTTTGCTTGGGTCAGAAGTACAGCCAAGACGCAGAGCTGAAGATTGCATTTGGCTTAATTGTGCAGTTGTGTTTTACACAATAATACTAAATGTTGGGATCCTGGATAAGGCGGGAGGCACATCGTGTGAAAAGCGAGTCTGTTCAAGAGGCCTGACTGCTGGTGTATTAAAAAAATAGATGCCTCGAGTAAAAAGATATTTGACTTGTGTGAGAAATTCATACAAGCTGGTTTGCGGTTTAATTTAAAGGTGAGGTGAGGTGAATCACCTGAATGCCAGATAGATAGTGAAACTACGCCAGCATTGCTTTATTAAAAAAACGTCTTTGTTGACCAAAACTGTTCGGTTAAACAGGTCTGAACAGAGCGCTCATTGTGACACACCCCAAGATGCACTTGGCCTGGCAACTTGCCTGTCAACTACTAATCTTGCTAGACAGGATAGGCTATGGCTGTGGCCTTATGATAATACCATGCCAGTTGTAACACTGAACTGAACCAGCAACATTTCACTGACACACTTGCTTGCACCAAACGCCCCCTTGGCACATTAAGTAACCCAATGCCACTGGCACCCTTCTTTGTACATGGGTCCTTATTCATTCTCTTATTTGAAGGTCCAAACCACATTCAACTAAGGTCTAGCTGCTCTGGTTAATGCATTTAACAATGAGGTTTGGGCTGGGACAATCAACCCATTGTGTCACACAAGGACTGATCCGTGGGGAGATTTTCTTGTGGTTATGGTTCTAATACAGTAGAGTTTACCACAAAGACCGGGAAGCATGGAGTTACACACACACATATACCACACACACACACACACACACACACACACACACACACACACACACACACACACACACACACACACACACACACACACTGTGACTCAAGGAGGCAGCGCGTTGAGCTCATTTCAAATGTCTCACCCACTTCCATCTTAACTGAAATGGTACTTTGAAAATGTATTTAATAATCTGGTAAAAGGTTTACGCCCACCTCCCAACTTGGCACCAATAAGTTTCTTGACTTTTATTTGACTGACAGCTTCTGTGGTTGGCACGTTTTCTCTGCAACAACCGCAGCGCAACCAACTGTGAAATTATAGGCCGAGAATCAAAACAAAATGAGCATCGTATTATCACTGCCAATTACGAACAATTGTCTAATGTTTGGCTTACCTTAAGATATATAGACAGATAATTGGAAAGCTGACATCAGAAGACACATGCGGCCTAGAATTTGACATCTTGAGCATCTTGGGGCCTGTCTGTGTTGTTGTTTAGCAGGTATGACTGTGAGTCAGGGCAGCTGGGGCAAGAAAAAGTTTTTGGTAGGTGACCCCCTCGATGTCACGTAAGGCTGACATTTATAACCCATAAAAAAACACGTGACAACGTGTGGGCTATGAGCCCTTCATGTAGAGAGCAATCAGGGTGCTCGTGCAAAGTTGGCGGCCGATGATAAATGTGCAAAAAGTGAATGAACACTTCTGCTAATGCTCTTTAAAGTAATGCTGCATATACAGGCAATATTTGCTCATGTCAGTGACCGCGAATCTATATATCTATCTATATATAAATATATAGATAGATATATATATGTGTGTATTATTTTTAAAGTGTTTTTGTTATGTATACTCACTCAGTATGATAAAGAGACAGATCTGTAATTATCCGAGTGCCAAGCTTATACATTTTTTCCCCTCCTGTATCTTTGGTGCTTATCATTTGTGAGATTCCGTGTGCATTCCCAGAAACATTATAATCAGATACGGTTTCAGTCTAAATAAACTCTCACTGTTTTATTTCTAAGGATTGACTGTTCTAAAACAGGTCTCAAACTTTCAGGAAGGTAGATGAGTATTTGTGTGTAACAGCATCGATATTTGAGGTGAAGACGTGTGAGCAAGAGTAAGAGGTAAGAGTTATATTGCAGGATTGTAATAGTGAGATACTGAAACATATCGGATGATCTACAAAGTATTTCACAGTGCAGTCTGTTATTTCTATGTTGCAGTAAACAACCATCACTATCACCTTAAAATACTTCACAGGTTTAGCAAATTTAATCAGAAATCTATGAGTAAAAATAGCTTAAACAAAATACCAAAAATAATGGAATCTTCTGCTTCAATCTCTTAAGTTGATTTAGCAATGATAATGCTGCATTTTTATTAGGACATTTTAAAACGTAAAGCTTTGAGTTAATAGAGATCACGTAAAGCTGATGGTCACAGCCTTGCATTTTCAATATTGCTGTAGCAGTTTTAGAGAAGATATTGATGATAAAATCTGATATTTATCTCCAAATGCTGCTGGATTTAGAGAGATAATGAGCTCATCGTCATCATCCGATTTTCAGATCAATATTAAATGCTTCGGAGGTGCTCTAATTTATGCTACTTGCTCTTTCTGAGGACTCTCAGCGCTTGTTCTGAGGGCACAAAGATGGTCTGTGTGTCACCTCACCCCCCCACCCCCTTGTAGTCGCTATAAAGTGTCATCAGCTACGCAAATGAAGTGCCCATTGATAAAAAAGAGCAGCCGCCTTCTGATAGAAAAGACTCGAGTCGGCGAGTGCAAGGTGGAGTAACGCGCGAGAGTCGTGCGCCACGTTAATTTATTGCGATTCTTAGGGCATAATAATAACCAGTACAGCAGTAATAATCGTCCACACACGATCACTGTGCGAGTCTTTAAGATTTACCTTTGCTTTTATTTTGTGTGACTTTAGCAGCAAAGATCAGACTCTGTCTACAGGGCCACTCGATGCACGTTAACGCGCCAGAAAGGAGAACTGCACTGATTTAAATGTGGAGAAAATTAATTTTGAACACATGCCATGCACATAATTATTACAGCTGCAGATATTTGAGAGCACTGTGGGAGAAATTTCACGAAAAAGAACTGCAACAAAAAAGTAGCTTATTGTTAACAAATAAATGAAAATCACTTTGGTCATAAAATGCACGGAGCTGTAGGAAAAACAAGGCAGTGTGTGAGAATAATATTTAACACTCAGCGCTCAGTACTGAATGTTTATTCAATCGCGGCTCATTTAGACGCTTTGTAATTACATTTGGCAGACAAACGAGTTGGGTTACTTTTACATCTGCACGCGCGCATACACGCACGTGCACAGGGACGCACACAGGTGTGTTGTGGCCCAGAACTCTAGCACCAAATCCATCCGCAACAAAAGTTCTTTACAAAGAAATTAGAGCCCTGAAATAAGTGCAAGCATGTTTTGTTTATTTCCAGCCCTATAGACTTTACCCTATAGAGCCAACAGAAAGGAACTATTGAGTTACACAGCACGTACCATTATAGCGTGGGGAGATCTGCCAACCCTCTCAATGCCCCATTTTCCTTTAAAAGTTCAGCTTCCAAAAAAGTGAGAGAGGGAGTGAGAGATGAGGGAGGAAGACTTGGTCTCTTCGCTGTTGCCGGAAGCAAAAAAGGACCTTTAAACACGTCGGCTTTAGGCCCAGATAGAGAAAAAAACACGCTCTTTCAAAAGTCGGTCCACTCTGAAAGCGATAGAAGGAAACGAAGACACCAGCTCCGAGCCTTCCGTCTACCGCTGTTTGGCGTCAGATGCGCCCATGTCCCGCAGAAAGAAGTGAGGGAGACGTCTGCGTCTAAGTCCCGAGGTGCGTCCTTCGGCGGCAAAACTCCAGCAGACTGGGAGATGCTAAAAAAAAACCTCCCCGAATTAATACTTATAATACGGGTTTAAAAAAAAATCAAAAAAATAACCCAAAATAATAATGGACGGGAGAAGTGACGCAGAGTAAGTTTTGTTTCTATTATTTTTCCGTGTGCAGCCTTTGCGGTCGATCAGCTTCTGTGTCCAAAACGTGTCCAAAAGCAGCTGTCTCCTATGCCGCGCGTCCGATCTGTTTTACCCTCGTATCTCTCTCTCTCTCTCCTCTCTCTTGATCCGAACGCACACAAACACACGCAAGCACACGCACGGAGTTACACGCAAACGGGGGGGACACCCCTGGTCCCTCGCCGCCTCCTCCTCAAAGCTGACGAGATGAAAGAGCAGCTTGCGTCGTGCCTCTTCAAATCGCTACAGCCTCGCCGATAGAGGAATGCCTGTACAGCGATACGTCGTCGGTCGCGGCTTCGGCGGGGCTCTGGATGCCTCGGTGCGTAAAAATGGAAGCTCGCCGTGCGCTCCGGCAGCGATAGATTGCCTTGCTCTTCCCTCCCTCCCAAAATATCAGCCATTAAATAGCTCACCTCAGCAGCATGCGCCCTGTTTACACGCACATACACAAAATAATAGACGGGGAATTGGGGCAGTTGTTTACAGTGAAGGTTGGGTTGGGGGGCCGGTGCTTCAGGCGGCAGCGTCGAACTGGTGAATTATTAGGTGAATTATTAATAAAGCGAGCGGTGTGCAGTCTGTCGCGGAGAGAGCGGAGCGGCCAGGAGAGCAGCTGGGGCTTTAGGAGCATTAGGAGGACCAGAGGCTAAATCACGGGCTGCAGGGATTAGAGAGCTGCGCCGGCTCCTACCTACCGCCTGAAGTTTGCAGAGTGACTCTGTGGGGACGGCCGAGCGAGAGCAGAACTGCTCGGTTTTTATGTGTGTGGTGTTTTTTGTTTTAATGTTTACAACCCAAGAGCAAAGATCGGGCCACTAAAGGATGATATGTTATTTTAATGACAACCTGGCCACAGATATAAGCTGTGCTCTGTGTGTCCACGCATCTGATAATATAAAAAAGGGGGAAAAGTCAGCTGTCAGTTACTGAGCAGCCAAGCAGGACAGCTTTCCTAAATCCCAAAACTTACTTTGTTTGATTTCCATCAATATCTGTAGCACTAAGGGTATTTTGCATGTGACTGTCAGGATGTGACGCTGTGAAGCAACAGGATAAAATTCATCTGAGATATCGCAGACATTCTCACCAACATGATTAAAAAAACAAACAAACAAAAAAAAAAAACACTCTCTCCACTTTACCAAAAAGCAACCACGTGTTTTAAGAAACTGTTTATTGCTCCAGAGATTTTAAGGACAACGGCCAGATCCAGCAGACCTGCCACATAAGACACTTGGTGCACGTGCTTTCTGATGTCAAGTTTCAATTTAAGAAAGTTTCTTCTTCTTTTAATGTAAACTTGGATACATCACCTGGAACAGATTTTGATTCAAATGAAATTGGCCAGGAGAATTTGTGGGGACACCGTGGGGCCTAAAGGACATAATCTAAGAATGAAAAAGTCACTTTAAAAAAAGCAGATAAGAGTGATTTAAAAATAAACTCTGGAGAAAACAAAAATATCTGGAAGATTTTGTGCAGATTTGGTCACTCAACCTGTTCACACGCCAGTCACATTCAAAACTTGGCCGTGTCTTGTTTCATACTCAACCTTCGGGCTTTCCTCTACAGTTATAAACGGCTGGTTCAAATCAAAGCAACAAACTAAATATTTTCGTTGTTGCAGATGAATCTGATACACATCGTCTGGATAAATCAGAATTTGGCCTTATTTCTGCTTTTATTTTCAGCTGTGCGTGTGGAGTTATCTGCCTCTCTCCTTTAGAGAGAGAGAGAGAGGGGGGGGGGGAGGGGGAGAGAGAGAGAGATAAAGGGAGAGTAAAAGGAAATCAGGAGGGGGGGAAGGAAACAGCCTAATGACATTCCTCCAACATGAGGGTTTATAAATAATTAAACGCTGACCTCCCCACACATTTGGCCACATCAATTAATCATCTCTAAATGAATTTGTTTTTGTTTCAGCATAATTTCGATTATTCGGTTTGCGTCTGTGGCGGGATGACATGTGCGGGGTTGTTATTGTTGTTATTATTGTTTAGAAACGGAGGCCCCTGTGGCCCAGTTACCCAACAGCAGGGAGATACGAACAAGTGTCGTTTTTTTTTGTTTTTCTGTAGTTTTAATTTTGTTTTAACACTGGAGACAACCAAGACTGACCAAAATATGACGAGACTGAGCAGAAACCACGTAACCTAACACTTAGTAGGTCAACAATTTATCGCCTCCTTTAATTGATACAAGGACCTGTATTACAAAAACATTTTCCTTTTGTTTATCATAAAATTATTTTTATGGAATTATTTTGAAAAAGAGGGGGAAAAAAAGGACTAGGCCTTCAAAATGTTGACCCTCACTCTCTCTATTATTTACATATTTCTGACATTTTTAATTCAATGATAATTTTGTTTAAATAACTAATAGGATCTTATTTGTTTAGGCATAAAACAAACTGCAGGTAGACGTCGAGGTAAGCGATTACTGGTAAGTTCAACAATCAGATGAATGATTGGCTTGAATACTAAAGTTGGTGAATGACTTAAAGTATGAAAGAGGAGTAGGAGCCTGCACAAATAATAATAACAATAATGACGATGATAATGAGTATAACAATGATACTATTATTATTAATAATAATTCCTAATGTTACATTAACATTTTTATTAATTGATTGAATGACAGAGGCTTTCTGCCTCAAGCGTCTTGTTAAGTTTCACAGTTTGTACCTTGAACTTTCCCAATACTTTATTTATTTACTTTTAATATTAATTCTGGTCTCTCTCTCTCCCCTTCTTCTTCTTCTTCTTCTTTTTTTTTTTTTTACAGATGCTGAAGCCCACACATGCCCAACGGCCTGGTTGGAGAGTGACCAGTTAATTGGAAAAACACCAAACTGTGCCTCTAAACCCCAAATAATCCCACAACACGGTTCCCCCCCTCTTTTTTCTTAACTCTTAATTAAAGTACAAATAACAGCACAGTGAGCGCGCACTGTGTACTCAGCACAGCCCACTGTAGCCCGGAACTTACCGCAGGCCCACAGAAACTTCTACAAGCTTCAGGTAACGAATCTGCTTCCGGAAAAAAAGAAAAGAAAAAATGAGATGATAAAAATCGAAAGGTGTTTTTGTACTAGCAATAATAATAATAATAATAATAATAATAATAATAATAAAAAATCACGTAGCTTTGTTTTAAAGCTGTTTAGTGAAAATCGTTGGAAAAATATTAACAAGACATCAAGACAGGTGTTTTAATCAACAACCAGGTATTTGAGGGGAAAAAACACCGTAAATAAAACAAGAGATTAAAAATCCGAAAAAAAAAAACGTAAAATCAAAACACTATAAAATTAAAGTAAAAATATGGCATAAATAAAAAACATAGATGGGGGAAAATCCACAGGTATTTAAAACACGGAATCTCTGAGGACGCTGAAAAAACGAGAAACTGAAACTTTAAGTTTCTTTAGATGTACATTTCCGCTTGAAATTTCAAAGGCAGAATTACACCTGCATTATAAAACGGAATGGTTTTAATAACGTAAATAACGTCGACAGTATTACACGGAATTATACATCTCAAATTGTTTTCTCAAATAAATAAAATCCACAAAAAAAAAATAAAATAAAAAATAAAAACGCAAAAAAATCCGATGGTCGACGCAAAAACATTGTTTAAAATGTAATAATTAAAGCTGATAAATATAACACAGAGGCAAAACTGCATGTATTTGTTTATTAATGTGTCATAAATAATAATTGATACTTCTTCCTCCTGATGCTGAGGCACCATATGTTTAGCAGTTGACCTGGTTTCAACATTTCCCATGTTTTTCTTACAGTCCTGATTTATAAAAAAAAAAAAAAAAGGCGAGGGGGCTGGGCAGCTGGTCTTATTTTAATGTGAGGCCCTTAAAACTGTTTGTGTTTTTCCAGGTATTTAAATATTAAGCTGCGTTTAGTGGAAACAGGCAGTGCGCTAATAAAGAGAAGATTATTTGTCATTAAAACAAAATACAAGAAGGAGGAGAAGTCTCAGAAGACTTAATGCCTTCCTCTGATGTTTCTTGGAATAGAACATTAAAAAAAAAAATTTAGTTGATATGCCTCAAAAGTTGAAGGACATTTGTTGGCTTTCACTAGTCCTAATCATGTGAGGCAACTTATGAGCATCAATTAGGCTGAGATTTGAGCTAATGAAAGCCCTGAGCAGTGAGTCTCACCACAACCCCCTAAACCAGCCATTACTGCAGACCACAATGGCTCTGATAGCACGCTGTTTTAAGACCCAGCATTATGTGGGCAATAAGTTCTCTAAACCTCACTGCGAGAAAAGAAGGGCACATTGTGGGATCAGGCAAGCAAAGTTTAGACAACATAGAAGGAGTTTTTCTAAGTCCAAAATGCTTGTCTGTAAACCCCAAAACGAATCAGGGGAATTTTTTTCTTCTTCTTTTTACTCCAAATGACAAGTTTCACATTCCAAGCTGGAATATAACTGCAAACCATGATTGACACGGACAAAACTAATTATCAGAAGAACACTAATGCTGAATGAGACACGGAGCTGCTCAGTGGATGGCACTGAGATATTGTAAATATTCACTCATCAGTGATGGACTTGGTGTCATTACATGTTTGCAAGATTAGAGGCACGAAATACAAGGCAGAACTGGAGTTTGCCAAACAGAGCGCACTGCCAAACTTCAATCAACAGGTACACACTTTATTGAAGAAATTACTAAATACTGAGGTGTATAATGAAGGGGAGAGGGGGCGTGCTAGGGAAAAACCTGAAATATCCTTTAAGCATTTAGAAAGAATCATCTCTTTTTAAGCAATTCAGAAAACAACCCAGCGAATCTGTGTCTGTTTATGTGGTTCTCTTTCTGGCCCCCAAACTAAAAGCTCAAATAACTCACATTTGTCAAACGTAATGGCCCAAAAAACACAGAAGCTGATTTATCTAATCTGAACAAGTGTGGCAGAAAGGCATTCACCAAATCTATAACCACTATAAATAAAGGAAAAAGAAAATGGAGAAAACAATGCAAACAAAACTGTGAGCTCAGTCCAATAGCTTCAGCAGCTACTGCATGTATAATTCTACTAGTAAAGATCACACGCAGCTATGTTTGCAAAGCCACACATGACCGCTATAAAGAAACAATCAAACAAAGTATATATAGCAACACTGAAAAAAAAGAAGATATAAGAAACCAAATCTGGGATCTATAATAGTGCCAGAAGGAGTGGACTGCACATCTACAACAGAAATGGCAAATACAAACCGAAGGCCCGAGTCGTGCTGCCTTTCTTCTTTTTAAACCACGTCACTCTGACTCTTGACTGCAGCACTACTGACATCTACTCCCAGCCTGATCTCACCGCCGCGCGCTGCAGTGAAAGCTAAACAAAAATATACCCTGCATCAAGGCCATACATCAAACTCAAACTGGAACTATCATTTTTCCCTCTCTGCAGTCTTTATTCCTGTCCCTGCTGAAAGAAAAGCCTCGCAGAAATCTGCATCTCCAAAAGTGCAGTAAGCGGTGGA